CCAGAAGTATTTGCCCATCAGCTCCGGCGGCGAGGCGCAGGTTTCCAGGTCGTCCTCCCTGGTGAGACGCCTCAACCAGACGAGCTCGCAGTTGCAGTGCAAAGGGTTCCCGCCGAAGCTGAGCACCAGCGACGACAGCGGCGACCCTTTGGACTTGGCGTACACGGGGATTCTGGAAAACAAAGGGTCGGGAGGGATCTTTTTCAGCTTGTTGGAGGTCATGTCGAGCCGGGCGAGTTTGTGGAGGTTGGAGAAGATCCCCTCGGGCACAAACTCGATGAGGTTATGATCCAAACTGACCGTGTTGACGTTCGAGAGCTTGGCGATGGTCTCCCAGGGCACGTTGACGAGGTTGTTGTAGGAAAGGTCGAGGTCTTCGATGGTTTCGATGAAGTCGTCCAGCGAGCCGGGAGAGATGTAGCTCAGCTGGTTGTTGCTGAGGATTAAATGCCGCAGGTTGACCAAACCTTTGAAGTGGTCTTCGTTGATGTACGTCAGTCTGTTGCTGTCCAAGTGCAAGGCGTGGAGGCCTTTGAGATCGAAAAACGCGTAAGGCATGATCTGACTGATGGTGTTCCTCGAGAGCGTCAAGTGGATCAGGTTGGTCATGTTGGCGAAGTCTTTCCGCCGAAGCGTGGTGATGAAGTTGTCCATCAGCCTCAGCTCCGCCGTCCTCCGGTCGATGCTGGGGGGCACGAAGAGAAGCCCCGTCTTGGTGCAGAGGATGGTGAAGGACGGCGAGAGGTTTTGGCACATGCATCTTTTGGGACACATCATGGCCTTCACGGCTGTGCTGATAACCAGGACGGAGACAACCAGCCTTTCCATCGTAAGAAAAACAACAGACCTGAAGGGAGAAAAGAAAATAATGAGGAAAAAGAAAGAAAGAAGAAAGCCGCATAAATATATTTTAACCGTTAGGATTTGGTTTGCGATATTTTTGAGCATCGTCCGCATGATTTTCTCTATTTTAGGGGTCAGAAACTTGTCGAGTTTTGGCAGAAACGCGTTTTAAGAGCAGCGTGTTGTCATTTTTTTTTATCCCAGGAGGTGGCAGACGTCTAAAACTTGTCCGGCGAGGAAGGAGAAACGCTTTCCGAGGCGTTTCTGGAAAGCAACGAGGCGTTCGCTCAAGGTAGATGTTGAGTTTGTTTTTTTTTTCCCGTGCCTTCGAAAAAGAAATAAAGGCGATCAAAATCAACCCGTCGCTTGTGCAGAATTATTACTTCGATTTGAGGAACGTGAGACCCGGTCTGAGCTTTTTAACGTCTTCGATGATTACCTTTGAATTTTCTTCGCCTTCGATTGTTACATTTTAATGTTCTATGCGTTGGCTTTCGGCCTTAAGTTGTACCGGATCCCAACCGAGCCTCTGGGGAGAATTTTGTAAAAAAAGAAGTGGGAAAGAGCTAAAAACCAGCGGCCAACCCCTCCCCAAAAAACCTCTGGGAGGGCACGTGATGATACAGGAGGATTTTTAATCTTTTGGGGCCTTCTGAAACTCCCATTTATGACTCTGAAACACCGATTTAGGGAGATTTTTGGGATCGATTTAGGGAGATTTTTTGGGTTCCAAACACCGATTTGAGGAGATTTTTAGGACTGAAACACATTTAGGGAGTTTTGGAGCCTCCTGAACACCGATTTAGGGATGTTTTGGGGCACAGAAACACCGATTTAGGAGATTTGGACCTCAGGAACTCAACTTTGGACGGCACTTGGCCTCCGATACGCCCACTTACGGAGCTTTTGGCCCTCTAAAACACCTATTTAGGGAGGAACGTTGACCTTGCTCCTTCGACGGCGTTAAAAATCCCGGAGAATCCCTAAATCCTGTAGATTCGAAAGATGTCAAGATCATCGAGTCCAACTGTTGACCCAACACGGCCAACTCAACCTCCGTGGGCACCAGACGCGTTTTCCTGCTTCTCCCCAGCACCGTTGGCTGCCCCTCCTTGGAAAATATTTCTCGACAATTCCCAGCATCCTCTTCAAAAACGCCGGCAAGCCCGAGACGTGTCACCCGAGCCAAACAGAAGGCCCCGGAGGTGACATGAGTTGACTCTTGAGGCGACGTCTGGCCACGGCACGACACGGTTGTGGCTTAAAAAAGTAAATATTCTGCCAAAAGAGGGAGAAAAATGAGAATTTTATTTTATAATGGAGTGAAACGCCGAGTAACGAAGCGTCCACCTACAACGAGGAGGCGTTCGGCACGAAGTGTTACCAACTCCGCCGTCTCCGCCGCAGCCCGAAACGTT